TAATTTTACCCGCTGGATCCACTAGCAATGCGCTAGCAAAAGTTTCAAAAAACAGTTTTGGTTGACCAGTGACCCAGTCGCCACCAGAGAACGTGTAGTTTGTCGTGTTTGTTTGACAAAAGCAACAGTAACAGCAAAGGCAACGACCAACTCTGCAGATATTCCAGTTCCACCACTAATAACTAGCAGGCACCCACTTCATAAATAGCAGCGGCACCCACTTCATTTTGGCAAACCGTCATTTACATGCACATGCACATCTACATGTACATGTACATGCACATATGAATATATACATATGTTCTGTACATTTTAGCGCCAGATAATGCTGTAAAATACGCTAAGGTATGCTAAGGTCAATACTTTGTATTTTTACTGGTAGGTTGGAGTCACAGCCCAGCAACGCATGAAATCCGTGAGGCCTAGTGGTGTTGAGCCTGGCAATTGCCGCGATCTGAGCAAGTCACACACGACCGAGTGACGAGATTGGTGTGGGTTTGCCTGAAAATAATGCATTTTCCCAAAGTTACTCGTAAATGTCATTTTGGATATTTTGGGGTCCGCTCCCATTTTTGGACAACCTGGTGTAGTATTACTAGAATGGTTTGCGTACAAGCATTAGATTGGATAGATTGGATTCATGCTTTGCGTGTTCTTCATTCCAGATTCTCAAATTTGAGTCCACAACTGAATTTGATTCTTGCTGGTGAATTCTGAGCCGTTCACGTATGACGCAAAAATCGTTCGCGGTTCAATTCTTTTTGGACGCGACAAGAGATTTATGCGACCCATCTTGGGCAGGGAAGCTGTGCCCTGCGAAGGGTTTTCTCTATTTGTCCCAAGGTTGGTGCCTTGCGATCTGCCTTTGTCGGAGGCATATTGCCATGGACATGGCAAGGTAGCATAGGCATAGGCCTTGCAGATACATGGAGACTGACTCGACCGGATCTGACTGGAGATTTGTGAACGCAATATACTACAATGACTTGGAAACAAGCACGTCAAGAGATTTTGCAGGTGTTAGCTTCCTGACGAACAAACTGGCTAGTACATAATTTTAGACAAGTGTGATTTCAAAGAGAATATTCTAACATACATCCCGTACAAAAGCAACGCAGTTCCTTTGATTTCTTCGATGTTTGTCCATTTTGTCCGCTGGAGACAAGAGTAATAGCCATTGTGTCTCCGCTAAACAATGCGGGGACCATCCCTATTTCCCACCAAGCATCCGTTTCCGTTTGAGAGTCTGCCAGGCCTACTAACCCAGCTTGGCGCGGCGTCTAGTCGAGGTTCATTGTTTCATGAACTGTGGAAAACTAGAGTTTAAGATAGTTTAAGTAGGTTTCTCATTTGTAAATGTGTACTTAGAGAAAATAGGGCAAAAGAATCCATACTCTTACTTTTGTTTCCTTGCGTTTCGTAACCGTTCAGAAGTTACTTGCTGCAGTTACTTGCTGGCAAACAACTCTTTGAGCAAATACATCAAGTATATCAAGTGTGTCAAGTTTGGGCGTTGGTCCATAGTAAAACTGTTGCGGCTTTTTGGAAGTTTAAGTGTTGATTTGAAAAAGTTTGGTGTGTTGAAGTGTGTTGTTTCTTTGATTTGACTTGGCAGGTGCGGTGACTGCAGCCGCCGGCAGAGACATCACGCCCTTGGGAAACCAGGCGAGATGCAGGGATCAAGGATTGGCCAGAGAAAAGCTGCTATGATCTTCATTATGATATCTTTATCATAGTTTGATCATTTTTTAATCCAAATCTCTGCTCTAAAGTTCATTCCTGAGAATGCGTTTGAGCCGCTTGCAAAAGTAGATGAATACGGAGCTGTATGTTGGAATCGAAAAAGCCCTGTGTTCACCATGTCCCAGATGGCGCTAGGTTTTGGTCGAAGAGCTTGACGAGCCTGAGGACTCTTGGAATTTCAGCAGGGCCCTTTTTGGACCGGGGTCCTTGTACCGTCCAAGTTGCTGTCACTTTTTGCATGTCAATCAACCTTATTCATTTCAAAAAGCACTCTGGGGCTCATAAGCATGAAAGCGTTTGACTATATGAGGTGCTTTATTTCCCAAACACTTCATTCTCTGTGAAAATCGAGGCTGCCTTCAGCCCAATGTGCAAGGACCAAAGCGGCTTAATCCTAGCTGATGGCAGCAAAAAGAAGACACGATTGCGGCTAGGTGGGGTTCACATTGACATTGGGTAACTTATCTTTTCATTCTCTTTTTTGATTTCACGATCGCTGTTCACAAATGATTGTGCAGCTCTTTGTCGGACTTTGCATGGATAAACTGTATGTTGATAGATTACGCAATTCAAGAGTCAGAGATGATTGACCATCTTGGCAGGCCGAATTGAAGCACTGGGACCCGGCAAGCCTGGAGATTTGTGCCACACTTAGCCGTGGCAAAAGGAATGCGGGGATCATTTAGGATCACTTTCACAAGAACAGCTGGTGATGTTGTGTGGATGTCCCAAGATCTAGAAGGCTTACTAAACAGATACTATGATTAACCCAGCTTTGCAACCCAACAGCAGGTGCCAGGGTTCCAAGGCTGCAATGTTTTCAGGCAAGACTCCAAGGTTTTGCAGGGTTCCAAGATTCCACAGTTGCAGGTTTCCAGGATTGCAAGGTTGCAGATTTTGAGAGTTCCAAGGTTCCAGAGATCTAGATTACCAAAGTTCTGGGGTTCCAAGTTTCCAGGGTTCAAGGTTCCAAGCATCAAGGTTCCAGACTTGCAAGAGTCTTGGTTTGATTCATCAACAACGAAATGACCAGCGCAATGCAAAGCAAACGCAAAACACAATAGAGCTGCTTCAGTTGATTCAAAGAACACAGTGTGAGCAGCATGATCCACAGTGAAGCGTCAAGTCTACAGGTTCACAAGGTGCAAGGTTCAAAGTTTTTCACAAGGCTCTCAGTTTCCAGGAAAGGTAGCAAGGCTCTAAGGTTGCAAGAGACCAAGTTTGGGGTTCCACAATTCCATGACCCTAGAGTCCCATACTTCCAACACTCCAAGTTTTCTGGTTCCAAGATTACATGGACCAAGGGATCCATATTGTGAGAGTCCAAAAATCAAAGTTTCAGATAAAGTTTGAGGGTTCGCGGTGCAGGTTCCAGACTTGCAACGAGTCGAAAGTTCCAGGGTTCTAGAGCTCCAGGGTTGCAGGATTCTAAGGTTGCAGAGTTCCAAGGTTCAAAGGTTACAAGGCTCCAGGAATCCAAGGTTGCAGGTTTCCATGGTTTCAAAGCTCCAAGATTTCAGAGTTCCGGGGTTACAGGGTTTCAGAGCAGAAACCCTTTGCTGGAGCCCTTGCAGGAATTCCTTGCAGGAAGTCTTGCAGGAACCTTTCCGGACGCCATAACAAAACTTGCGGATTTAGTTTGGGTGTTGTTGTATGTTGTTTTATTAGTTTGCATTTTTCTCTGCTTAACGTGCGGAGCTGCTTCATGTGTCAATCCTGGAACCATAAAAGCCTGAAAAACCTGGAAACCTGCATCCTTGGGATCCTGATGCAAGCTTGGAACCCCGTGACCTTGCAACCTTGGAACCCTGGAGAGCAAGGTTCATCACAGTTTCAGCAAGGGATCGTCGTCTTTAATTGCGTGCCCAAAACGAAACAGAAAATCCAGAAGTTGTCCTCATATAGTATATAGGTTCCAGCAAGGTTGCAACCCGGTTCCAGCAAAGTTCAAGCCAGACTTCCAATATCACAACCCGGCACAATAAGCAAAGCAAGAAACAATGTAAAAAGAAAAACGAAATCGACACCCGCATTGGCCCCCAGCAAAATGTTCTAGCCAGAGGTTCCAACAACAGGGTTCCAGGGTTCCAGGGTTCCAGTGAAGTTCCAACAAGGTTCCAGCAAGATTTCAGCGACTTTCCAGCAGGTTCCAGCAGAGTGCCAGCAATGTTCCAACCAGGCTCCAGCTATGTTCCAATGAACCAGCAAAGTTCCAGCGATGTTCCAGGGAGGTTCCAACGAGGTTCCAGCAGTGTTCTGGTTTTCCAAAGCATGCATTTTGCTGGCACCACTCCCAGAGATTGAAACCTAACAGAATCGCTGTTGGGAATTAAAAAAAGCACAGTATGATCAGTATGATCCACAGTAAAGCGTCAACTCTACAGCTTCACAAGGTGCAAGGTTCAATGTTTTGCTTGCACAAGGCTCTCGGGGTCTTGAAACGAAGCAAACAACAAAACAAAAAAACAAAAAAACTCTAAAACTTGTCTTCGAAATCACAACTAGGCACTGTAACCAAAGTGGAAACACAAAAGTTCCAACATGCTTCCAGTGAGGTTCCAGCAAAGCTCCAGGAAGGAAGGTTCCAGGAAGGTTCCAACACAGTTCCGACAAATCCAACAATCCAGCACCGTTCCGACAAGATTCCTGAAGGTTCCACAAAGGTTCCAGGAAGGTTCCAGCACGGTTCCAGGAAGGCTCCAGCAAGGTTCCAGCACGGTTCCAGCACGGTTCCAGCAAGGTTCCAGCAAGGTTCCGGGAAGGGTGTAGTAAGGTTCCAGGACTGTTCCGGTTTTTCGGGTGAAACCCAACAGAATCGCTGTTGGGAATTTATGATATGATAAAATATACTGTACATAACTTATGAGTTGGCATGTGGAGGCAAATTGACTGTGATCTTTCATTTTTGGAGGAATTTTGGAGGTGACGCCTTGGAATTCTAAAGAAAGCCTCAGGCAGCCTACACCACTAGCCCCACAAAATCCCATGTGATAGCAAACTTCTTTATGCAAGACCCTGCTATCACGACAGGCGAGAACCAAAGCTCATAGAGGCGAGATTTGCACGCCTTGAATGTTTTGCAGGAAAGGACTCCTTGTCTATTTCCAGTCTTTTGTATATCTTTGGCATGGGGCGGGAGAGATGGCTGTGCCAGCAAATCTTCGGGAGGGCAGCACCGGCACATTGTTCCCATCTTTTCCTGTAGTACCTCAAGGGAGTATTGGCATGCAGTACTGTAGCTGGACTCTCCTTGTTGCATGGACGCTGCACGCTTTTGGTTCAAAGAGAACTACGTTTGCAGTTCTTTGGGCACCTTGGTGATGAGAGAACGAAGCTACGTGCGGGTCACCGGCCTCCGAGGCCGTTCTGAGCTCAACGGACGCTATGGAAAGCTGCTGCAGTGGATTCAGAAAAAAATAAACGCTGGGAGGTGCAGTTGGAATGCGAAGACGGGAGCCAAGTGCAAGGCACTTTGTCTGTCAAAGGGCTGCCCTGAATTTCAAACAACCTACATGTCAAGGTTATTGCCTTGCAAACTGCATGGGGCGGTGTCAGCCCCATGCTTCCCACAGGAATTTTGTGACAAGATGAAATCACGGCCACAAAGTCTTTCTCGGGAGAGTGCGCTGGAGTTCCTGCTAAATTGGCTACTTGCAGCAACGGAGCTGCGATGGCAACGTACGTTGAGTGGCCAGCACAGCCTTCAAACAAGCAAGAACTCCTTTGATAGCTTGGAGCTTGGGGATCTACTACCTCAACATTTCAAGCAACATGACGTTCACAACTTCCGCACCAACTTCAGCAACTCCAACTCAACACATGCTGGGATCGGGTTCAATGATTTGCGTTTGTTGCCTGATGCCCGAATAGAGAAGGGGGCTTCTGGCATTCGCTTCACTGGGATTCATTTGAACGACTTCTCAGTGACCAAGGCATTGGTCATTGCGGCTATGCTCATGGACAAGATCATATCAGCGAACCACATTTTGCAGGTGTGGTATTCATCCACTTGGTCCAAGGGGACCTTTTCATCCTTCAAGAAGACCATGTTGGCCATGGAACCCCCCATCTTAAGGGCTGGCATGAAGCAGTTTTTGGAGTTTTGGAAGAGTGCAGAGGCGCCAGACCTTGCGAGCTGCCGGCAACAGTGGTTGCAGCACTTTGTCAGTGACGAACGCAAGTGGGATGCATGCACAATTGCTAGTCTCATCCGGCCATGCGATCAACTGGCAGCATGTAAGCATTTCGTCACAGGAGAAGTGTGCGATGAGAGCTTGGAAAAGCCTGAAGTTGGTAGATGTTGGTAGCATGACCATGTGGGCATTGCCTCCTGGCTACTCCCTTCCCCTGCACAACGCAGACTCCATTTTTGCCACCATGAACTTGGAGGACTATCTACCAGTGCCTGCAGATGAAGCTGACATGGTCCAACTTTTTGTCCACAATGTTTTGAAGAAGCTGAACCACATCCGCAAATTGCTTTTGGATGCAGGCTTCAGGTTGACATTTGGCAAGAGGAGGTGACTTTGGACACCTGTCACCATCGGGAATAAATTGGTCCAACATTGTGGACTACACAGGCCGTGCTTCGTTCCATGCAATTGCCACAAGGTGTTCTGCTCAAGACGGCTCTACCGTGCACTACGTGTATTCCATGGAGTGGGTAAAGGACGTCTATGGTGTTGGCTTATCAGATTGGTGCAGAGGGGGCCAAGCCGTCAGGGCATCTATGCTGACCGAGCTGGAGACAGGGAAGGCCTTGCAGGAATTTGCGAAGGAAGCAAAGCTCAACAGCTTGCTGAGATTGCCAGGCTTGGGCTGCCCCAGCAGGATGTGGATGTACACCACAGCAATGCATCTACACCATTCTTGGGTTGCAAGGTTTGCAAGCATGAGTGCTGCAGTGGGTGCTGTGACCCTGCAGTCCTTGGGTATGAGCTTGCCCTTCATGATGCATAGGCGCTTTCCAACAAATATCTACTTGAAGTGGAGCTATTCAGGTGAGTTTGCAGTCCCAGAGATCAGCCAGGCCATGAAACGTTACAATGCAACCCTTGGTGATGTAGCTCGAAGGCTACTTCAGACCAAGCGTAGCTCGTGACTTCAAAAGCTGGGTGCAGAGAGGCTCATGCCGGCCATTGGATAGTCAAAAAGGGGTGCTGTTCCGGTCCAGCCACTTCCATCAAGATCATGGCATTGCGCATTTTGCTCAGAGATTTTTGTTTACTTGTTCATGTAAATCTGGGTTATAAATATGTGTGGAGTTAGATCAATGAAACATATGCATCCTGGCATACAACAACTTGTAAAAGCACTGCTGTTCATGGTTGATACCACCGGCCGTAGCTCTGCATTCTGCTGCCGCATCGGAGGCACTTAAAGTCGGTGACACAGTGCTTTGGGAGGACTTCGCCAATCGCAAATTGGAGGACACGAAGATTTTCTCTCCTGAGACTGCTCATTCCCTGAATATTCTTCAATAGCAAAGTGTGTCGATGAGTGAATTGCATTTTGTCATTTTGTGCATGATTTGCTGGGTCAACCACTGTGCATAAGAACCTTGATTGTTTCTAGATCGAGTCAAGTGATAGCCACATTCCATTTCGCTGTGACAAAGGAAGTGCTGCCGTCAAAAACCTCGTGTTTGCATTGATGCAGTGTGTTGACACATTGCTTTCCCCAGTAGTTTAATAATAAGACAGAACTTCCACCCAAGATATTCTGTCGGTTGACTCCCTGCATGGACCGAGGGACGGAAACCTTCCACTCAGATGTGTTTTTCATTGACCCTGCCATTGAAAGATATCAGAAACCTTATTCTCTGAGATGGTCTTGATATGTCTTGATTGATCCCTTTATAAATAATATAATATAGTTGAATGCTCGCGCCGGCAGCAAGACAAGGTTTCTTTTTCGTACATGCGTTTTCTGTTCCTCGGCTGTGGTGCCCAACGATAAGCGGAACGATATCCGGAACGACAACCGAACTCTAGCCTAAAATCCAATTCTAGGGTAAGGCAAAGCAGAAACCTGTTTAAAGTTTAAAGATCTATTTTGTTGATGGAAAAGCCACGACATAGAACATGGCTGCGATGCGGGGATGTGAAAACCACACTGAGAAATCCTGAGACGCTTGTAATAATCTTGTAATGGTGCAGTTTCCATATGCAGCTGCAAGACCAAAGTGCCTGCAAAATGCTTGCCAGCTTCAAACTGCAGCAAGGAAATGCGATAGGAAACTGCCCACGGGATGCTCCCACAGTCTAATCGCAGAGCATACTATGAGTGAGATCTTCCCGCCAGGTGAGCAAGCAGCAGCACAAACAGCAACGCGCAGCTCTGAAATCTGTATGTTCGCATGGGGTCACTCTTCACCGAAGTTGAATATCTCTACGTTTCCACATGTTCCGCACCTATTTTTTGGACCTAAGAGTTTTTTTGACGCAAATCCCATCAAGAACACTTAAAACCATATCAATTTGTAAGAAGCCGTCCCGCACCAGATTTGTATGATCCGAGAACTAGACTAAAATGTGTAAAGAATGTTGCTCAGGTTTTTGACATCCATCTCATGCGGCTTGGAGGATGATCCTGACAACAAGCGATTTCTGGTGCCCATCAGAAGTGTCAAGGCAAAGGCGCAATTGCTGCAGCCAAACGTGGACTGGGAATAAATCTTCTTACAGGTTTTTACTATGTTTTGAACAGCCTTTGTTTGCTGTGCCTTCTATATAAGCAAGCACTATTTGCTATATCATTCCACACAACAAGAGAGAGTTTCAATGTGTCCCTACGTCCGTCCAACGATTTGCCTTGAGAAAGGGGAGACTTGCCAGCGATTTAACACACGAAAAGCATGATGAGGCATTCTTATTTGAGACAGTGCCCTTATTGGTTTGCAGGTTGAAAGTGCCAAATGAGACTTGACGATCTTGGTGGGTGCATGCTGTCAGAGCCAAAGTCTGATGTACAGGGCCAATTTTGGTGCAACTCTTCATTGGAGAGCAAAGACGACGAGCGATGCGCCTGGCATCTAAAAGTGGCCGACTGCTGAACGGAATTCGATGTCCTGCGCCAGTTTGTTTGTCCTCGATTGACATTGTTTGTCCAACGTATCCTTTCCAACTTTCAATTTGTTCAACATTTTCTACTGACGTGTTCAAATTCATCCCGCAAGCTGGCTTCTTCAAAACCAGGCAAATGTGTTGAAGCAATTATAGTTCATCCAAAATAATATTTCAATACAGATAAATAATGATAAATATACATCACAATGGGCATGTTTAAATTCAAGACTTGTGTAGATAAGACAATAACATGTAAGATAAGATATACAACGCAGGCATGGGCTTCAAAAAAAATAAGGCATCAACAAAAAATATTTAAGGAATCAAAAAAAATATTTATTTTTCCTGCGCTGGTGCGGTGTTTTGGTCTTTTTATGCCATTTCAATCCTGTAGTCTTTGAATCTCCCAGTCCTCTAATCTTCTCCCCGGTCCTCTAGTCCCTTGGTCCTTTGGTTCCTTGGTCCCTTGGTCCTCTGATCCCTGGGTCCCTTGGTCCTTCCGTCCTTTGGTAACTCTAGTGCCTTAAAATAATTTTAAAATAATTCCTAATTTAATAAGTAATTAATCTTTAAAAAATCTTAAAATAACCCATAAATTAATTCTTAAACCGAAAAAAAATTAAACGAATCCTAAATTAATCATTATTCGACCCTAAATTAATTTCATTTAATATTTATATTCTTATTATTATTAAATATAATTACAAATAAATTTTAATTATTTTAATCTTTCCGAATAATAACAAAAAAACTAATATATATTATATTTAAAAATTATTTTAAATTATTTAAGCTAATTATAATTTTAGATTTTTAAATTATTATTTATTATTTAATAAATTTATAAATTTAAATATTAATATTTATTATTTAATAAATTTATAAATTTAAATATTAATATTATTAAATAAATATAATAAATTAAATTAAAAAATATTTTTAATTTATATATTTTGGAATATTATAATTTAATTTATATATATATATTTATATAAAATAAATTTTATTATTTATTTTAATATATTAAAAAAATATTATTTTTTATAAATTTTATTGTTAATTTTATAAAATATTGTTTTTAATAAATATTTAAATTATTTAAAATTATTATTAGAAAATTAATTTAAAAATTATATATAATTTTGTGAAATTAATAATTTATAGGAAAATTATTAATTTATTAAAAAAATATATATTATTATATATTTTAGATTTGAGGATTTTTTTTTATGTTTGTGTTTATTTAAAATAATAATTAATAATATATTAAAATAAAAATATAAATTTAATGTTTTTTTTTTATTCGAAAATTTATTTATATATTATTAAATAATATAGAGATTTAAAAAAAAAATATATATATAATAAACATTAATATTAATTATTTTTGATAAAATATATTATATTTAAGAAAATTACGATATTTGATTTTATTATTTATGATATTTTATATGTTGGATAAAGGATTTAAAAAAAATTAAAAAATATAAAGAAAAATGAGAATATTAAAAAATAAATATTTGAAGGATTAAATAACAAATATTTCTCTGGATTTCTTATTTTATGGTTTTGATAATAGTTTGGAAATAAAATCGAATATTTTTATGATAATTTTATGTTTTTGGTTTTTTTTTTTTGCCCGTAAGATTTTTGTAGGACATTGGATCTGGAAATCGAAGATTTCCAAGATTTATTAATATTTTGTAAATATTTGGGATTCGATACTTGACATTGCCGTTTCGACAATACCTGTAATATTTTGGAATTCGAATTTTTTATTTTCGATGGTTGTTCTGAAATTTACATTGGTTTAAAGTTTGTTTGTAGTTGGTTTAGGGTTGATTGTGGTTTGGGGTCTATTTAAAATTGATTTAAATTATAATTATGATTGATTTTGGGCTATATTAGGGTTGGTCTATGGTTTATTAGGTGTCTATTTAAAGTTGGTGAAAATTTGATTTAGGTTTCGTTTAAGTTTTATTTAAAATTGGTTTAGTGTTTGTTTGCGGTTTATTTAA